TTTGAGTTGGAGTCTCACTCTGTCTCCCAGACTGGAGTGCAGTGGCCGCTCCCGGCCACCACAGCCTCGACTTGCTGGGCTCTGGCGATGCTTCTGCCTCAGCCTTCCAAGTAGCTGGAACTACAGGCGCGCCCTACCACACCTGGCTCATTTTTGATTTATTGTAGAGATGAGGTCTCGCCAAGTTGCCCAGGCGGGTCTCGAACTCGCGGGCTCAGGCAATCCACTCACCTCAGTCTCCCAAAGGCGCCGGATTACAGGCTGAGCCACCAAGCCCGGCTAATATACAGGTCTTAAATGCACAACTTGATGAGTATTTATATTCACACACACCCCCATACATCCATGTAACCACCACACAAATTAATACAGAACTTCTTCACCTTATGAAGCTCTCTTAAGCCATTCCCTATTCTGGCCTCACCACAGAGTTAACCCCCTTTTTTGATTCTATTATCATAGATTATTTTACCTGCTCTTGAAACTTTCTATAAGTAAAATCATACAGTATGTATTCTTGGGAGTCTGGTTTCTGTGGCTCAAAATTATTTTGTGCATAGTTGTAAAATGTTTCATTCTTATTGCTGTATAGAACTCAGTTGTGATAACGTATGTCTGTTGTGGGAAAACAGGGAGACCCTGTTGATGAACATCTGGAGTTGTTTCCAGTTTGAGCTGTTGTGGGAAAACAGAGAGACCCTGACACCGAGGCTATCTTAGGAAGTAGCGGTTTTATTAGCGCTGGTGTGACTCAGTGGGCTAACGTTCCAAGGCTGAGCAACTTGGAGAAAGAGGAGAGGGGTTTTAGCTGTTAGTTTACGTAAGGAAAGGGGTCGGGTTGTATGGCTATACGTTTTTCTTTGGAATTTGCAAGGTGGTATTTAGCAAAAAGAGATTTTCAAAGAACAAATTGTCTTCAGGGTATATATGACAAGCAGGGGTTATAAACCAATAACTTCACAAAGAGAGGATATGGGGGTAAGGTTGTGAATGAGTTACTATCTTGCATTTCCAGGAAAGTGACCTTTAGCTATTTGGTTTTCTCAAGCCCCGTGTCTAGCAGTTCTGGAGCTTGCCAGTTGATTTTTAAAAGGAATGATTTATACTGTTTTCAGCCCCTCTCTGCCACAGGGCTATTATGAATAAAGCTGCTGTGAACATCCTTTTACATGTTTTATGAACACGAATACTCATTTTCATTGGTTGTATAAACATGCTAAGTCATAGGCTATCCATGTGCTTAGCTTTAAAAGATATGACCAAACAGTTTTCCACAATGGTTGAACCTATTTAATACTTCAAACTGCATCTGACTGCTCTGTATCCTGGTCAATGCATGGTAATGTTACACCATTTCCCTCCTGATTAAAGCGAGGAACACAACCCCTTTTCATATGCTTGTTGGCTATTTGATGTTCTCTTGTGAAGCACCAGTTTAAGTCTTTGACCAGTGGGGTTTTGTTTATTTGTTTGTTTGTTTTTGAGTTCAGTCTCACTCTGTCCCCCAGGCTGGAATGCAGTGGCACGCTCACAGCCACCACAGCCCTGGCCTGCTGGGCTCAGGTGATCCTTCTGCCTCAGCCTTCCAAGTAGCTGGCATTGCAGACATGCGCCACCATGCCCCACTAGTTTTTTGATTTATTGTAGAGATAAGGTCTCACCAAGTTGCCCAGGCAGGTTTTGAACCCGAGGGCTCAGGCAATTCTCTTACCTTGGCCTCCCAAAGTGCTGTTTGACCAGTTTTTGGCTGAAGTTGCTTTTCTTGGTTTGTAGGAGTTATATTTACTTAAATACAAATGCCTCTTTGCAGTATATGTACTGCAGATATATCTCACAATCTGTGGCTTGCCATTTTTTACTGTCTTAATGGGTATCCTTTGTTTTCATACAATAAGTGTTCATTGTTCAGGCATTTGGGGTCATCTGGGAGTCAGGCATATCTGCTGATCTTGACAAGGCTTAGTTACAGCTGGGGGTTGGTGAGCTGATATGTAGTTACTATTTCTGGTGCTCTTCATTCTTTTGTGTAGATCCATCTTTCGATCTGATGTCGTTTTCTTCTACCTGAAGGGCTTCCTTTAATATTTCTTGTGTGAAGGTCTGCTGGAAATTGCTTCTTTCGGCTTTGTGTGTCTGAAGATTATGTATTTTCCTTCCTTTTTGAAAGATATCAAAATATCCACCACCCAGTTATTGGTTACACAATTCTTGGTTAACAGCTTTTGAAATTTATAGTACTTTAAAGATGCTGCTTTGTTGTCTTCTCATTTGCATTATTTCTAATGAGAAATCTGCTGTCATAATTACCTTGTTTTTCTATGTAATGCTTTTTATCTCTGGCTCCTTCTAAGAGTTTTCTCTTTGTTAGGTCAAAGATCTCACTGTGACCTCCAGAAATGTTAGGTTGGAAATCCCGGTAGGGCCTTGAAAATGTTAGGTCAGATCCGCTGGGGTGGGGTTGTGTGATCTGGTACTACATACAAGATGCAATGAATTGCTCTGTAGTTAGATTGGGAAATATAGTTTATTTAGAAAGTAAATTAGAGTGAGAGAGAGAGAGAGAATGGATATTCACCTCTCCAAGGCAGGAGAGAGGGCCAAAGCTTAGGAAAGCATAGCAGCAGCCGTAGCTCAAAAAGTACATGTCCACACCAGAGTTTAGTAAAGCAATGGTAATTGCTGTTTGAAATCCAATCCTTTTAAAATTTTCCCTTTGATGGGGGAAGTCTGTTTCATGTAGTCATCACAGAGGGCAGTAAGCACAGGTACTGACATCAGGTGATAGATAGCAGGCAGATGGGTGGGTTAGTCACAAGATTGCTGCCTTGGTGATGGGGTCTGTCTGTGTTATGAAGGTAAGAAAGGGCTGATTAGGTTAACTTGTTTACAAAACAAGCTGGGGAGGGGGTTGTAAAGCATTTATCAATAGTTACCTCTGAGAAACTGGTTCTGTCCTTGACTGGTGGATTAGAGTGTAAGTGAACTGCTAGAAAAAGACAACAACACTAAGCAGTGTTAAAAATGGCTGCTCATTTGGCTATGTTGATTCCATGTTATGTCCTTTCTCTCTTTATCACTGGTTTTGAGCAATTTGATTATGATGTGCCTTGGAATAGTTTTCTTTATTGTGCATGGGGTTTGTTGAACTTCTTGAATTATGAGATTACAGTTTTTGTCAAATTTGGAAAAATCTTGGCTATTATTTCTGCATATTTTTTTCTCTACCTTCCTCTCCCTTTAGAGATTCCAGTTACAGGCATATTAGACTGCTTAGAGTTGTCCTATAGCTCACTGATGCTATTTTCATTAAGATTCTGTTTTTCACTGTTTCAATTTGGGTAATTTCTGTTTCTGTACCTTCATGTTCATTAAACTTTCTCATGCAGTGAATAATCTCTCATTAATCTCGTGTATAGGTATATTTTGTCTCAATGTATATTTTGCATTATCAGTCTTCTGTTAAATAGTTCAAGGCAAATCCTCTTCTCTTCTCCAGAGTTGTGTGCTGTCTCTCTCTTGCTGTAGCATTTTCCTCTTTGGTACTTTGTACAAACTGTAGGTGTCTTGTTCTCACTTGAGTCTCGGTTCCAACGCTTCACCTCAGGGAATTTACCAGGTTCCACCTTGGGTTTCCCCGCTCTTCAGTATGGAGACTCTTAAGACAGGAAACTAGGGCAATTATAGGCCTCACTATTCATTTATTTTCCATCTTTTAGGGATCACTGTCCTTGTTGCTTGATGTCCTGTGTCACAGAGAGTTGTTTTTGCATTTTGCTTAGTTTTTTGATTGTTTTAGGTGGGAGAAGAAATCTGATCTCTGTAACACTTTGGCCAGAAACAGAAGTTCCTAATGGTGTCTTTTGATAAATAAAAGTTCTTAATATTTATGAAGTATAATTTATTAATCTTTTATTTTTAATGTCAGTGCTGCTTGTATTCTGCTTAAAAAAATCTCTGCCTACTTGGAGGTCATAAAGCTATTCCTGTGTTTTCTTTTAGACGATTTGGTGCTTTACCTTTCTGGTATATATCCAGAATTAATTATTGTATGTAGTATAGGAGTTGAAGGACCTTTTAAAAAGTGTCTTGTAAGAATCACAGTTGATCCAGCACTTATATTAAGCAAACACTAACCAAAGGTAATTTGGTAAAACAACATTAATATTAGACAAAATAGATGTTAAAGCAAGGTATATTATTACAGATAAGTAGGAATGTTTTATAATGTTAAAAGAATTAGCGCAACAAGAAGACATGCCAATCATAAATCCGTATACATCTAATAACATGACTTTAAAATATATAAAGCAAAAATTATTGACTGCCTCAAAGGAAAACTAGATAATTCACAGAGTTAAGATTTTTAACATCTCTCTCTCTATAATTATCAGAAAACAATCTGTAACATTAGAGAAGATTTGAACACAACTAACGTAATCTACACTATTCTTATATCCAACAAGTAGAGAATACAGATTTTATCAGAAAGATCATTTTTAAAAAGTCAACAAGTTTAAATGACTGGAATAGTACAAAATTCCATTCCATTCAGACTGAAGTAAAATTTAGCCAGAAGTCAGTAACAAAAATATAATTTAAAAAGCCCAAAATGCTTGGAAACTAAGCAGCATACTTAAAATATAAAATAGTAAAATTGACTGAAGAAAATTTTTTAAAATTCCATGTCCTGATGACTTTACTATTAAATTCTTCAAAACACAGAACAAATAAATTCCAATCTTACAAAATTCTTTCAGCAAATATAAAATGGGGGAACACTTCGCAACTCATTTTAAGAGGCCAATAAGATCTTGATACTAAAACCTCACAAGAACGTTATAATACAGGAAAATAAGAAGCAAATATCTCTTGAGCAGAGAGACAAGAATTCTAAACAAAATGTTAGCAAATCATATCAGGCAATATGAAATAAGGACATAACTTCATGACCAAATGGGATGTATTCCAGGAATATGTTTACTTTGGTATTTGAAAATCAAACATTCACCACATCAACATAGTGGAAGAGTAAAATGATATTAACTTAATGAATAAGAAAAAAATTTGAAAAAAGCCTTTTAGTGAATTAGTAGTAGTAGAAAGCCTTTCAGTGAATTAGTAGTAAATAAAGGCTGTCTACCAACACCCTACAGTCAGTCATACTTAATGATGAAATGCTAATCATCTCCCCCATGAGTCTGGAAACAGGAGAACGATGTCTATTGCTACCACCTTTATAAATTAATTTAGCCAGGGTGCCAAATACACATAAGATCAATAGTTTTAAAAATCAACTGTATTTCTCTAAACTAGCAACAAACAATTAAAAAGTGAAATTTTAAATGTTATTTATAATAGTATCAGAAATGTCAAATACCTAGGAATAAATCTATGAAAAGATTTACAGGAAGACTTCTGCACTGAAAACTATAAAACATTGCTCAGAAAAACTAAATGCCTATATAAATTGAGAGTTATATAATATCCATGAACTGGAAAACTGTATTCATGTTAATTTTTTTCCATATTGATCACAGTCAAAATCTCAGCAAGTTTTTTTGTTTGTTTGTTTTTGTTGGGGAGGGAAGACTGATAAGCTTTAAAATTACTGTTATGTCGCTTAATGACAGGGACACATTCTGAGAAAGTATCAGGCATTTCATCATTGTGAACATCTAGAATGTACGGACACAAACCAATTATATACCTAAGCTCTATGTGAAAGCCTTTTGCTCCAAACCTGTGTATCATGTTACTGTACTGAATAATACAGGAAAACACAGTAGTACATACATATTTGTGTATCTAATCATAGAAAAAGTACAATAGAAATATGGTATAAGAACCAGGTGCGATGGCTCATGCCTATAATTCCAGCACTTTGGGAGGCTGAGGTGAGAGTATTGCCTGAGCTCACAGGTTTGAGACCAGCCTGGGCAACTTGGCGAGACCTCATCTCTACAATAAATCAAGAAAAATTAGTCGGGCTTGGTGGCACATGCCTATAGTTCCAGCTACTTGGAAGACTGAAGTGGAAGGATCCCCAGAACCCAGCAGGTCGAGGCTGCGGTGGTCATGAGTGTGCGACTGCACTCCAGACTGGGTGACAGTGAGACTCCTACTCCAAAAAAAAAGTACACCTGGTATGGGATAGGACATTTCCCATGAATGGACCTGGCAGGACTGGAAGTTCTCCTGGGTGGTTCATTGAGTGAGTGAATGTGAAGGTCTGGGATATCACCATACACTACTGTAGATCTTGTAAACACTGAACATATAGACTGCAGTAAAGTTGTAAAAAAAAATACAGTAATTGTGCCATGACTTTGCGACATCACTAGGTATTTTTCAGCTCCATTGTAATTTTATGGGACTACTGTCATAAATGTAGTTGTCATTGACCAAAATGTCATTATGTGGGACATGACTGTGTATGAAAATGCAAAGGATCTAGAACAACTAAGAAAGTTAGAATAGTGAAGGTAGTGTGGCCAAGGATGAACAGATAAATAGAACACAATAGATCCCAGAAACAGATCCACTGGTAAGCAGTCACCTAACTTAGGATAAATCTGCATTATTATCTTACTTAATTCTTTCTATGTCCCTATGATTCCTATTCTACAAATAAAGGAGTAAACAAGCTCAGGGATATAAAATTGTACAAGGAACACAGCCTGTAAATGGCAAAATTGAGACTCACACCCAGATTTCTAATTTTTTTGCTCCTAAACTACAGCCTCCATTATGTTGGAAAATGAATTTTGTCCAACAAATGCAAATTGTCAAAAGCATATTTTTGTGAAAACTCAGTCCACAAAAGGCACCTTGTTTTATGGTCTACTGAAAATGCATTAAATGAAACTTTTTTTTTTTTTTTTTTAAGTCAGGGTCTCATCTTGCTCTGTTTCCCAGACTGGAGTGCAGTGGCATGATCACGGTTTACCACAGCCTCAACATCGTGGGCTCAGGTGATCCTCCCACTTCAGCCTCCCAAATAGCTGGGACCACAGGTACACGCCACCATGCCTGGCTAATTTTTTTTATTTTTTGTAGAGATGAGGTCTCACTATGTTGCCTAGGCTGGTCTTGAACTCCTGGGCTCAAGCAATTCTCTTGCCTCAGCCTCCCTGAGTGCTGGGATTGCAGGAGTGAGTCACTGCACCTGGCCTGAACTTTTTTAATGGTCTTTTTTTCCCCTACACATAGATTAAGTTACCAGATGCTCACATAAATACTTGTTTTCTTTCTAAAGGACGTAGGTGCAGCAGTTGAGAGGGCACTTAATTTGAGCTGGCTGTGAAATTGTGCTAGGTCTATGATCTTCCTGTAAAGTAGAGAAAACAGTACCTGTCGTATATTTTGTAAGACTTTAGAATAGTACGTATTTCAAAGGGTTGTCAGGAAGGTCAAATTATGCAGCATAGTTGTAAATGCTTCAGAAACTTTAAGCCTCCTTGAAAGTGAGTGGACAAGGATTAGCATACTTTATAAACTCTAAGAAACGCCTCCATGTACAATAGGAATGAAAGAAAGCTGCCAGTTGAATCGACCTGCTGGTAATTTTACCACACAGCCCAGCTTCAGATGGTTAAAATATGGGTGGAAATGTGCAACTTAGAATCAATATTGTTGGGTGTCCTCCTAAAAGTTCTACCATAGGCTTCTCTGTCCTTTGAAAGCCACCGAATTTCTTCTACTTTGGTCTCTTTAATGTACTAGGCTACAAGTGATTGATTTGACAGTGAGGTTTCTTTTTTATTCAGTAGTCTTTTTCAAATTTTCCTTGAAGGTCAGTGCCTTTTATATTAAGAATTGCAATTTTCTTCCTCCAGCAAGATGAAGGGGATGTCCAGATATTCACAAATGGCAAAGATCAGAAGTCCTGGCAAACATCACAGATGGAAAAGTGACAGTGCTAACCAGAGAGCAGTCGTTAGATCAGGCATTCGCTCGTGTGGTCCGAAGCCTGAAGGTTCACCTGAGGCCAACACAGATCCTCTTGGTACTTTGATAGACAGCGATTCTGGTAAGCGAAACAGGAAAACATGATCGTGAGTGTATAGAGGGTGATGCTGAAGTTGATTACACAGCCTTGTATGTGGAAACTTTAATGGCAAATATGTAAAAATGTTGACTGATCCTTTTTTGTTTTTAATAGGAGTCTCTTGCAAAAATGTCATTTCAATACATCTTTTCTGAATCGTGGAGGTGGGTAGATGGGGTGGACATGCAGTAAGAGAAAGATTACATTTGTTGGATAATTTCCATAGTATGACGTAGTCTTAGAAAATTTCTTTTGATTGTTTTGAATGTACTAATGCTGTCCATTCAAATTTGCCCAGTTATGTGGATTTTTTTCTCCACCTATAAATCAGTAATTCTAATGGAAGTTAGTATACTTTATGCTACTGAGCATGAGCATAATCTCTTCGGGCAAATAACATTAATTCATTGTATCCGAGTAGTCCTGTTCCTCAGAGCATAGAATATATATGTTTGTCTTTGAAGTCCCTCTAGAATTTATAGGGCAGGTTGATTCTTGCTTATAAGCTGAAAAATTAAAGCACCAGAATGCTGCTGTCACATTCAGATGTCATTCAACCTCTGAGACTCCATTCTCCCTTCTGAAAAACGAGGCTGGGTGCAATGGCTCACACTTGTAATCCCAGTACTGAAGGAGGCCATCATGGGTGGATTGCTTGAGTCCATAAGTTTTAAGACCAGCTTGGGCAACAGAGCGAGACCCTGATTCAAAAAAAAAAAAAGTGTGTAAATATTCGCACTACCTTTTCCTCCAGTAACATTGTGAGGCTTTATCTAATTGCATGTGCCTCCTGAAAGTACCCAAAGATTATTAGCAAATAGACTTGTTATTATGCTGTTTAGCTTGGATGATAGTGGCTTCCGTGATAATCACGTGATAAGGTTTTGAACTTAGGAATGGCAAGAAAAGCGGGGGTAACTAATTCATTGACTGAATAGAATGGAAAAGGATGGCAGAAGGGAATTTTGTGCTAAGTATAATAAGGTACAATTTAGTAAGAATAATAATAAATTAACACTTATTGAGGAAGGTATTTACTGTGTTTTCTATACCTTATATATATATTACCTCTTCTTCCCCGACATCCTTTTATGTGTGTTCTGTTCTTATTCCCATTTTAGAAATGAGGACACAGACATCAAGTAGTTTACCTTAGTTATGCTGCTCATTCATGACAGAGCCAGAATCTGTACTTAGTAGTCTGACTCCACTAGTATATTACACATCCTCTAAATATGAAGTCCTCAGTTTGTCTAAAAAATATTTTCTGAGTCTAGGATAGTTGAGATGTGGGACAGAGTTTAGAAAAGGTACCTTCTTATCCACATTGCAGAGAACAATGAAAGGCAGATGATATTTTGAGCCAGTGCTGAACTCACTCTTAGGCACTGATTTTTTTTTTCCTTTCAGAAATTTTTAGAAAGAACCCATGTGTGTCTTCAGACTTATGGTGTGTGGTCTTGATCACAAAAGACTATCCGTACTCAAATCTAAACGTTCATGTTATTAAAATACTTAAAATACAAATACGAAGACTACCTACCATTATAATCAGTATGTTACTAATTTGAGAATTATGTAATTCTTTACTTTGTACAGTTTTCTAAATGAACATTTGAAACACTCTAATATTGGATAGTTTTGCTGTCTTTGTTTTGTTAACTTAGCTTTGGTAGATGATTAGTTCTGTTTTCTCTTTTTTTTGAGACACGGTCTCACAATGTTGCCCAGGTTGGTGTTAAAGTTTGGGGCTCAAGCAGTCTTCCCTCCTTTGCCTCCCAAAGTGCTGGAATTGCAGGTTTAAACCACTGTGCCGCACCTGTTTTCTCTTTTCTTGAAGTATTTCAGTATGTACTAAAACCCCAACAAAGAGATGATTGTATCTTGCTTCTGTTTAACCTGCATCTCAACAGACACCTTAGACATAAGAAGCAGTGGTAAATCCTCTCATCTTCATTGGTAGAAAGAATTTAATTGAATTCCTAGGACCAGTTGAATAAGAGATCTCAAATAATTTTGTTTTGGTTTAAACATTGAACCCCCTACCTGAGGGTCAAGGATGGGAACTCTGAGAGTCAAAGGTAAGAACATAAATCTTGAATATAAAAATCCATGTAAGCTATAAATTTATAATCTTGAAATTTTACACATATATTGATTTTGATAATGTTGTTCCAAGAAAATCACACTACCAATGATCAAATTATGGTAGCTTAATTTTGTAGGTATGGTGTCCTTTAAATTCATGTTATCCTTTACCTGGGATTGCCTCTGGACTTTGACACTTCAGAGCAATGTTTTGAACCATATGTTCTTTGCCTGTTCACTCCCGGTACAGCTACAGAAAGCGGTAGACCATTTTTTTCATATGCTCTAAATATCGTCAACATCTCTGTCTTCCATACAGTAGATGTCTTCTTCTTGTTTGGAGGCAGCTTCTCTTCTGTTGTCCCAGAGCCAGGCAATCTTAGGATCTAGCTAAGTTGTCAGTGGTAGGTCAGCATCATGTTGATGTGACCCAGTGCTCCCATGTGGCCACTGACCCTTCTGAGCACTAAACTCACTCCAAGAATAATGTTCTCCCAATTTCTTCCATTTTTTGCCTTTCTGTGGCTCAGAACTTAATCCAGACATCAGCACTTATATTTTAGACAAGATATCAGTTCTGGAGGATTCTTTTAACTCCAGATTATGCTTAGAAAATCATTGCCTGAACTCACCTTCTCTTTCTTGTAGTTGGTGGTACACATACTCTCTGTAATTTATACAGCTGGTTTGAATTGGGAATTGATATTGTTTCTAAGGAGAAGCTTTATATTTGAACTCTCCCAATTTATCAGTTTTGCATATGGCTTGTTGTTATTAGATTTCCCTAGTATTGCAATTTTTATTTCCTTCTATATTCATTCTGCTCTTGAACCTTACTCAAGGTTTGTTTGTTTCTGTGCTCTTTCTTTGGTATCATTAGTTAGGATCCAGTTTATTTTGTCGACATTGTTCAAGTAGTCTTAAACAATAAGTCTCTTGTCTGAGCTAGAAAGAAAGCAGCTGGTGAGTAATGCAGCATTGAGAGCATCTGTGGCTTAGTGCCTCAGCGTCCACAAGACAAAGACAATCCAATGTGTTAGTCACTTGTGATATAAATATAGCTATTGTCATAGAACACTAGGGACACCAGTCTCAATATGCACTGACATAAAGTAGTTTGTTTAAAAGATAGGTGTTAAAGTAAGAAAATAAACTGGCATAACACACTGGCTATCCTGAATGCCCTTTGTTAATGGTCTTCTTTGAAAGTTGGAGACCAGAAAGCAAAGTCCCGGTTTGGGGGAGTGACTTTGATGGCATTCTTAAGGCTCCATTGTAACTCTTCTTGAATTGGAGTGTCATTGGGTTTTTCTCATAAAGGCAACAGGAAGTAGTGTGGGTCGGGGGGAGTAAAGAAATAAGGTATAGAAAGATGCCAGATGGCAAGTGTCTACACTGGTGTTTAGAGTAGACAAGACATTCAAAGGGCAGTGTTGTCTTGCTGTTTTCATCTCAGTGGGGATTTGTGAGAGCCTACATTTTGCTTACCTAGCACTATAATTCAATATAGTGCTGTGGGTTTCAAAGGAATCTCTCTCCTTGCCTTCAGGAAGCTCATGGTCTAAGGATAATTTTTAGCTTGTTGTATTTGATGACTTTCTGGTTGGTGGAAGCATGTATATGCATGAGAAGGAGGTGGGATTTGCTCTGAAGAAAAGTGTGATTCGTGTTTTAACAGTAAGAGAAATTGAGTTGGTATTTTATAATTCTGATGTTAAGTTTTATCAGCTCAATCGCTGCTATCTTTATACTGATATTTTTAAGTTAGAGAGATATTTTATTAGCTGCTTTTATAAAAATGAATTTTCAGCCAGGCTAGGTGGCTCAGCCTGTAATCCTGTGCCTTGGGAGGCTGAGGTGAGTGGATTGCCTGAGCCCGCGGGTTCGAGACCCGCCTGGGCAGCGAGACCTCATCTCTACAATAAATAAAAAAATCAGCCGGGCGTGGTAGCGCATGCCTGTAATTCCGGCTACTCGGAAGGCTGAGTCGGAAGGATCGCCAGAGCCCAGCAGATCGAGGCTGCGGTGGCCGGGAATGGCCACTGCACTCCAGTCTGGGCGACGGAGTGAGACTCCAACTCAAAGAAAAAGAAGTTTCTTGAGTGTTATTTTGTCAGCTGGCATAAAGACCCTTTGACAGGGTCTTTCTAGATGGGTGCTAAAAATTCCCTTGTTAGAACTGCTAGGTAGATCCCAGGGACTTTAGGAACAGCCTTTTTTTTTTTCTTTTGAGATGAAAAGTCAATGTAGAAGATGTTCTGATAATGCCAAAAGGACAATACTGCTTTTCAAAGTGTTACTGCATATGGTAGGTCCCTTAAACATATCACCGAGGAAAGAAGAAATAGAGGAAAAGCTGTATGTTTATGTCAACCTAGAACTCTTACCTTTGGGGAGTAGTCAAGTATAGTGAACTTTGTGACACTCCGAGTAACAAGTACACCTAGTACTTAAAATACCAGTCTCCAATGAAGGAACCGGGGCCTCTTGGAGAAAAGCCTGATTCTAGGTTGAGACAAGGAAATTATAAGGGGAGCCTAGAGCATCTCACATGCCAGAAAGTAAGAAAATGCTCAAAAAACAGATGTCTGAATTTCAGAAGGAAACTAGAAAGAGTTCCCAGTGACCAAAGTTGGAACATTTTAAGCCACAGAATAATTAGAACCCCCAAAATAAAAATATTCATGTGTCCATACTGATATTAGTGCTTGAATAAGTAAATATAGGGAAGGAGGGACAAATTTTTTGTATAAAGAATTCTAATGTAGAAGAAATGAAAGAAATAGGTCATCATTAGAACACCATAATAATTGTTTTCAGGCAAGATTCTCTGATGAATGGTAAAATTAGTGGTGAAACGTTAAAGTGAAGCAGAGTATTTTCATAGCCTCAACATATCTCCCTCCAAAGTATTTATTAATTACTGTGGTGGTTTTAACCTAAGTCCAGAATTCTTTTTTATTCTTTACTTGAGTTGGAGCTTAATTCTTCTCCCTTGAGTGTGGACTAGACTTAGTAACTCATTTCAAGGCATGGAATAATAGAAAAGTAGTAACTTTGCAGTGGAGAAACCAGGCAGGCTATCAAGTAATCATGATTGACATCACCAGTAACAAGTCATATTGATATCATGTACCTGTGATGTGATGGAACAGACACATTCCTGTGATATTTGTCCCTAAAATCCATTAGCCTCAGTCCAGTCATCAGAAATGTCAGCCATATTCAAACTGAGGAATATTCTGCAAATACTTGACCAATAGTGTTCAGAAGTGTCATGTTCATGAAAATCAAGGAAAGACTGAGAAACTGACCCAGATTTCTAGAAGACTAAGGACTCGTGACAAATAATGCAACATAATATGGCAAATTAGATCCTGGAACACACAAAAAGATGTTAGTGGAAAAACTGGTGCAGTGACAGTGCAGTCTGTAGTTTAGGTAGTGGTATTGTCCAGTATTGACTTGTTAACTAGGTTAAGTGTCCTTTGGTTACGTAAGATAGTAACGTTGGGGAAACTGGATGATGGGTATATGGAAGGACTGTACTGTCTTTGCAGTACTTGTGCAAATCCAAGATTGTTTTAAAATATAAAGTTATTTTTATTTTTATTTTTTGAGTCGAAGTCTCACTCTGTTGCCCAGACTGGAGTGCAGTGGCCGCTCCCGGCCACTGCAGCCTCGACCTGCTGAGCTCTGGCGATCCTTCTGCCTCAGCCTTCCAAGTAGCTGGAACTACAGGTGCGTGCTACCACGCCCAGCTGATTTTTTATTTATTGTAGAGATGAGGTCCCGCCAAGTTGCTCAGGCGGGTCTCGAACCCGCAGGGTCAGGCAGTCCGCTCATCTCAGCCACCCAAGGCATGGGATTACAGGCTGAGCCACCGAGCCCGGCAAGTTTTTTTGTTGTTTTTTTTTTAAAGGGAGAGAGAAAAAGGACTATATAGGCCAATTAAAGCCTTGCCCTCTGTTTCTTGAATTGAATTGTAAGGAACGCTATCCCCCAGGGTTTATTTCCCTTTTTCTTTTTTCTATTATTTTCTGATTACAAAAATAATGGAGAAAATGTGGGGAAAACTGAACAGCGTAAAGTTTTTAAAAACCTACTTTTTTGACGTATAGAGATGACGAGTCACATTTTGTTGTATATCCTTCCTAAATTTTTCCTATGATTTTTTTAAAATTAAAAATGCAATCATATTATCTTTTAAGAAAGAAAAAAGTATCAACTTTGGATCCATGCAGAACTAGGTTTCTCTCCTGGCTCCACCTCTTACTAGTTATATGATTTTGCTCTAGTTAACCTTTTTAAACTTAACTTATACTTGCAACAATTTGTCCTCCAAATATTTGTTTAGCACCTATGTGCTATGCTAGGCTCTAAGGATACAGCACTAAAAAACAAAACCCTCTTCTGCCCTGTAGCTTGAGTTTGATTGAAGAAGTAAACAGATACATAAAATGTTGGACTGATGTGAGCACCATGAAGCTGAGAGAAAGCATGGAGAAGCAGGTGTGCCTTCTTATCTGGAGTGATCTGTAAAGTCTTCTCTGAGAAGGTAGCTTTAAGACATACGAATGAAGATAGGTGCTGATACCTGAGGGACTAGCAGTCAAGGCAGAGAGACCCTGTCTGCAGCCACCAACATCGAGGCAAGACCCTCTACCAGCAAAATGATCATGACTTGTTGAAGGCTTAGATGATTGTTAGCATTTTAAAAATTAAAATGAGTATTTTTTAAGACCTAATACTATCGCACACTTATTAGGCTACAGTCTAGTGTTAACATGACATCTTTTTTCTTTTTTTTTTTTGGTTTTTGAGTTGGAGTCTCACTCTGTCTCCCAGTCTGGGGTGCAGTGGCACGCTCACGGCCACTACAGCCTTGACCTACTGGGCTCAGGCAATCCTTCCTCCTCAGTCTTCCATGTAGCTGGAACTACAGGCATGCACCACCATGCCCAGCTAATTTTTTGATTTATTGAAGAGACGAGGTCTTGTCATGTTGCCCAGACTGTTCTCGAACCCTTGGGCTCAGGCAGTCCTCTCACCTCTGCCTCCCAAAGTGCTGAGATTATAGGCATGAGCCACCGCACCCAGCTAAACGTGATTCTCATGCGTACTGGGAAATAAAAAGTGTGTGTGACTCTATTGTGATATTTGCTTTATGTGGTAGTCTGGAAGCAAGCCTGCAGTGTCTCCAAGTTTTGCCTGTATACCAAGTAGCTGTTTGGAATTTTGCTTTAAAAGGGAACAAAGAAATGGAGCTATAGCTGGAAGACATTAGCATTGTTAATGCCATAAAAGCATTTTGATAGGATGGCTTTACTTTAAGAAGACTTTATGTATCTGAAGGAGACATTCTAACTTACTGTTAAGAATTGGGATTTGGGGTCAGATAGCCAGGACTTACATTTGACCCAACTGTTTTATAGTTACGTTACCTGAAGAAAAAGTTACTCAAAGTCTCTGAATTTTTGTCTCATTGCCTACAATTATATCATTGTTTTTTAAAAAAATTTTTTTGAGATGGGGTCTCACTCTGTTGCTCAGGCTAGAATACAGGGGCACAATCTTAGCTCACCACAGCCTCCACCTCCTGTACTTAGGCGATCCTTCCAACTCATCCTCCCGAGTAGCTGGGGCTCATATAATCACACTCAGCTAAATTTTTTATGTTTTGTAGAGACGAGGTCTTGCTATGTTGTTTAGGCTGATCTCAAACGCCTGGGCTCAAGTAGTCCTGCCTCTGTCTCCCAAAGTGCTGGGATTACAGCTGTGAGTCCACACACCCGACCTTCATCATCTGTGCTTGATAATGAAAGTCATACTGTACTTTATGAGGACTAAGTTAGATCACGCTTTTTTTTTTTTTTTTTGAGTCAGAGTCTTACTCTGTCGCCCAAGCTGGAGTGCAATGACATGCTCACAGCCACTGCAGTCTTTACCTGCTGAGCTCTGGCGATCCTTCTGTCTCAGCCTTCCAAGTAGCTGGAACCACAGGTGTGTGTCACCATGCCCGGCTAATTTTTTGATTTATTGTCTTGCCTGGTTGCCCAGGCTGAGTCTCAAACCCTGGACTTGGACAATCCTCTCGCTTCGGCCTCCCAAAGTGCTGGGATTACAGGCTTGAACCACCGCGCCTGGCCTAGATCATACTTTTAAAAAGTATAATACCCATCTGCTACTGTACTTTTTGGTACCTCTCTTTGTGTTTTGGAAAGAAATGCTGTGATTTGGTCTTTCATCATTCAAACAATGGATGAAAACTCTTCACACTAACTTTGTGGTAGATTTCTGCTTGGTCTATTAGTAATTTACGTATGTAAGGTGCATATTTCCCTGTGCCTTTATTAATCCAGGTCCTCCTTTTCTAAGGTAATAATATAGTTTGAAATTGACAGGGAGTAGTTTTAGGGGTATGATGCTGGGTAATGTGTGGGTAGATGAAGAAGGAAGATTTAGCTTCATCCAGCAGAAGGTGGTAGGTCAACATTCATATTAAAGAATGCTCTCATTTCCTACTGACATGTTCTGGTTTCCCTCGACTGATTTTGTTAACATTAAATACTCAGTCTTGAAACATTTCATATTGGTTGTGGGTTAGGTTGGTTCATTAAATAGACAAGTTACTTATTGTCTTCACTGAGGCTTTATTTTTATTGGTCGTCTTGAACAGAGTTAATGCATTTTTAGAGCTGCCAAAAGAAATATAATAGGTGGTGTCCTGGGGCTACAACTAGGCTTGCTGGGCTCTGATCAAACACTTCACCTTTGGCAGGCTCTCTAGTACTTGCTAAATTCTCATGATTGGCTTGTTTATTTAAGTTCTTAGAAGTTCTAAGTAATAAAAATGTTGGACAGATTCATTTTAGCATAACTCTTTGACTAACCTTATAGAATAGTTTAAATATATTTGAGTCCTGTTTTTTAAAATCAGTCTTAAAAATAACAAAAAGGGCAGGAATTTTTATATTTTATTTATTTCTAAATTTAATTTTCAGACTTAGTGAGCCTAATCCAGTGAAGTTAAAGCTTTGGTCTTCCTACTACCTATAAATTAGTCTCAAAGACTGTGTAACTAAATTTAGAGACCACCCAAATTCCATAACCTGTGAAACATGGGAAGTAACTGAGGTGTGTATAGCTTCCATTTGTCCCCATCTCCTCTGGGGAAAATGATTTCTTTGCCCATGAAAATTTAAACAAGGGGATTTTTTTCAGATCTCCTGGAATTAGTTTTTCAGGAAGATGAAATAAATGATCAGAGATTCTTTTTACTAAACAGATGAGGAAGTGAGGAGTGGTCAGCTTTTTTATGGTCGTACATGTTTGGGGTACACTGTTTGAGTCTGAGTTCTTTTCTCATCTATTTCAGAGTCTGATAAAGAGGAGAAACCACAACGTACCGTGATACCCAAGGAAGTAACACCAGCCTTATGCTCACTAATGAGCAGCTATGGCAGTCTTTCAGGGTCAGAGAGTGAGCCAGAAGGTAAGTCATGTCCGTTGGTTTAGTAAAGTGTGTTTTGTTGCTTTTTGCCTTTGATGCATGCTGTGTGTTAATAGCATCCAGCATGAACATTCTTTGTTTTATCTTTAAATTCTTTTTTCTTTGATTCAGAAGTAGAGTTAACATGGGATAAAGGAAGCCTAGAGTAATGGAGAAATGTGTTGCTACTTCAAGAGAATAGGGCAAAAGTAATAAAATATAATTAAAGAATAGGAAGGAGAAAAAATAATCTACTAAATGGAATTGAAGAAAATTCTAAAAGAAATAGCAAAAAGAAAGTTAATCTCTTCTCTCTCTCTTCTCACATAACATGTTTATAGCAACTTTGGTAGATGGTGACAGGTCCTTTATGACAAAGAGCATGCTAAAATTTTTAAAATGTGTGTAGGGCATTGCTCTTTATAGAGCACATTTACATAAATTATCTCATTTGGAAAACACAACAACCCTATACCTATGGTTGTATTAGCCTGTGTGTTTTAAAGATTTGAAGAAATGGAATCCTTTCAAGAGTCTTTCTGAGAAGTCTATGATGTTCAGGATGTGTCTTACCTGTGAAGGTGATGTTACAGATGATAATGCTTGAGGCTTTACTGTGAAAATTTTTATAATAAGCCAGTTTAATTTTACAGTATCCCTGTTAAGGCCACCTGAAAGAGCTGTGAGTAGGCTGTTGATCTGATGTAGTCTGACAGTTTTTAATCCGAAGTTTATGTCAATAATTCAGCATATATTTAGTGGAGAATCCTAGGCCCTACTGTTGTGGAAACCTGGCTCTGCAGGGCACTTTTATGTTGGCTTTACCAACCGTGAGAGAATTCGTGTGTCTATCTCGGGACAAGATGTGTAACGAGAGTAGGAGCCATACCGAGGATAAGAAGAATGGTCTAAAAGTGTTGATGTAGAAGAAAGGGAAGATTTGAATGTAATTGGATGAAGATGGCAGCACTTTTCATGTTGACTAGGCTAGAGGTAATCAGTGTTGAATAAGGAAGAGTTGAACTTTAATATGAAAGATGATTTAAATCTGTCTGTAACATGGGAAATTTTTTTCTTTTTTTAATGGGCCATGGCTTACTATGGTAGCTTCTTAATAGCTACTTGAATTTTGAAATATAAACTACTTTGGCTTTATCAGTGTATTCCTTAACAGATGGTTGCCTTTTATTTTATTTTTTTTAATTTTAAGAAAAACAATATTTCTTTCTTACTCTTGTTTCCAATACACTGATATGAAGATGGAGTTATTCTTTAAACACATATTGCATTTCCCGCTTATCGGTTGTATTTATAACAGGTGATAACAGAGAAAACTGTTACCAGCTTACGAATCCCATAAAAACCAGCTGGACTCGTGCTTTCTTCTCTGTCTCAAAGTGAAACAATACTTCTCTACTCATGTCTTCATTTTGAGACTGCCATCATTTTTTAATTGGAAGGAAGAAAGAAAACTGGAAGGGATCTTTAAGGTCACCCTTTCGTTTTATAGCACCCGAAGCTTAGAGAGAATAAATTTTGCAAGCTAGTATGTTGCAGTGCTAATGTAAAAATCTAGGTTTGGAGACTTAAAAATCTAAAGAAACCAACTTATATTGCCTTCCCCTTTCTGTGTAATATTTATTGTCTTCCTGCACAGCAATGGATAGACTTTTCTTTTATATATAACAGTATGTTATCTATTAAAAGATAACTGTGATTTTGTGTGAATTTATTTTGACTAATTGTAAAAGTGTCCTGCTTTAAGGAGAAAGCCCTTGCTTCACATTCCTAGGTCTTAAGAATTATTTTATGAAGTTTGAATTAAGCTTTATTAAGCCATCCAGGTCACTAGCAGATTTCTAGCTTTCAGTATTAATTCTAGGTTCTAGGATGGGGTATTCACAGATAGGGAGTTTGGAATAAATAAGCCAAGGAAACAAAGTGGCCTTCTCTGAACCACGAAATAGCATTTAGAAGGCTGTTTAAGCGGATTCTAAATGGATAGGAGCAGTTTGATTCTTCCTAATGGATTTTAGCAATTGTGTCTTCATAATTAAGGTTTTTCTCAGCTTAAGAATCAACATAAAAGTGTAGAAGAAGTTATACTTGCATCTGGGACTATAAGACTCATTAAGATATAAAAATTCAATGAGAATACTTTCAGATGAGTTGGTTTGATACCTTTTCTGTAAAGTAGCATAGCATTTTAGCCTTTTTTTTTTTTAAACTGTATTAGAACTTAAGCACAGCTCCACAAAATTGTTTCTTCAAACTGATTTGGCTATGGAAGGGAGACCTCCAAATTAAATATTATTTTAGAAGGCCTCCAACCAGAGAGTAGTTTAAGTTTGATAGAGCTGAATAGCTGTATTTGAAATTTATTTTAATTGGTGGACAGTACATTAATATATGGTACTTAGTTGGCAAATGTTGTATATTTCAAGATAGAAAAATAAAAATGTTAGTTGCAGTTTTCTACTTTTTAGCAGAAAATTGACAGGATAAGCTCTAATTTGTTTGACTCTATTTCTGAATTGAATGATCAATACTAAAAGTCAAAAGGAGTAATGAAAGTAATGTCCTGGTTTTTCTTTTTTCCTTTAGTTATTATTCCCATAGGTTTCAATTGTACAAACCACTTTGAGAATTCTTAGCTCCATTTTTTTTATGATTACATTTCTCTTCTTTATCTGTTTTATAGATGAAGGTACTTAGAGGTAAGTAGCTTACCCCAAGGTCACATAGCTAGTAAGTGATGGTACTAGGCCTTGAACTTAGCAGTCTGGCACTGGAGTCTGTGCTTTTAATTCTAACACTTACCCTATACTCCCTATCCAATGCAATTTCTGTATTTGGCCCTATGAAATGTTTGAGTGTTATGGGTTTTACCACTCTTGTCTAGGCAATTGAACCCTGCCTCCCAGTGGAATAGAACTCTTTATACCATGCCACATTGGTTCATGGTGAGTAAATAGAATAACCATTTGCAGGGGAGGTATGGGGATTCTGATCTTAAAACTTGTGAATTTTCAACTGTCCGTATCTGTTTTCTTCTTTATTAATATGGTGAAATACGTTGATTTTTCACATGCCAATTTTCAGTTCTCAGAGTGGTTTGTAGACTTCAAAATGATGAGAATAATAATTAAAGAAAAAAAAAGAAAAATCAGGATACTACTTTCTGTTATCCCTTCCCCTTCACATATTGAGCACTCAGTTTAGGTACACAAAATGAAATGAATCAGAGCTTACATTGTATCAGTTTTCTGCTGATATTCTGTGTTCCTGAGTTAAAATCTACTTGGTCATGGTTTATTGCCTTTTTAATACATTTATGGATTTGATAATATTTTTTGGGTCTATAGGAGCTGTAGTGATGTCCTTCTCTTTTATTTCTCTTCTTATTACTTGATTTTTTTTCCTCAAAAAGTTTTGCTAGGTATTTGTTAATTTATTTTTTAATTTTTTTAGTTGGGTTTCTGTCACCCAGGCTGGAGTGCAGTGGTGTGATCACGATTCACCACAAAGTCTCCACCTCCTGGGCTCAGGTGATCGTTGCATCTGAGCCTCCAGAGTAACTGGGACTATAGATGCACATCACCACACCCAAATAATTTTTAAATTTTTTTGTTGAGACAGTGTCTCATTATGTTGCCCAGGCCGATCTCAAACTCCTGCGCCCAAGCAGTCCTCTCTCCTCGGCCTCCCAAAATGTGGGGAATTACAGGCATGAGCACCTGGATGATATTTGTTAATTTTATTAATCTTTGCAAGGAAGCAACTTATGGCTTCATTGGTTTTTCTCTATTATTTGTCATTGATTTTCACTCTAATTCATTGATTTGCACTCTTTAGTATTTCATTTCTTCTTAGTCTTTATCTTATTACAATAGAAGCTTAAATAATTTGTTTTAGTCTTTTCTTCATTTCTTTTTTTGTTTTGTTTTGTTTTCTGGTTGTTTATTTTGAGTTGGAGTCTCTCTCCATCGCCCAGACTGGAGTGCTGTGGTGTGATGCTCATGGCTACTCCAGCATCGACCTGCTGGGCTCCAGGGATCCTTCTGCTTCAGCCTTCCAAATAGCTGGAACTACAGGCACATTACCATGCCCGGCTAATTTTTAAAATTTTTTTATTGTAGAGACGAGGTCTAGCCAAGTTGCCTGGACTGGTTTCGAACCCACGGGCTCAGGCAATCCACTCGCCTCGGCCTCCCAAAGTGCTGGGATTACAGGCTGAGCCACCTAGCCCAGCCCTTTATTTCTAATATAAGCGTTTAAAGCTATAAATTTGCCTTCATCCATTGCTTTAGCTGCAGTTTACAAATTTGACAAATTATGTTTTCATTTTTATTTATTTCAAAATATTTTCTCATCTTTCTTATGATTTGTTCTTTAACTCATGGGTTATTTAGAAATGTGCTTAGAAGTGTGTTTAAGTTTCCAAAGATTTGGGAGTTTTCTAGCTAGTTTTTTGTTAATGATTTTAATTTAATTAAGACCTGAGAGTGTACTCTGTATGCTTTCAATTTTTTCAATTTATTAAGACTCGTTTTATGACTCAACACAAGGTGAAAGTTCATATCAACTCGAGAATATGTATTGGGTTGAATGTTCTTTGTCCATTTAAGTGGTATCAAGTGCTCTGTATTCCTACTCATTTTCTAAGTTTTCTTCAATTACTGAGATTGGGAGTGTTCAAGTCCGTGACCATGAGAATGAATTTGTCTGTTTCTCCTCTCAGTTACATCAATTTTTGCTGCATGTGTATTGAAAATTTGTTATTGGGTGTTACTGTTTTGTCTTCTTGATAAATTGACCCCGGGAATGTTTACTGTTCTGATGTCTTTTTTTTTTTTTTTGTCTGATATTAATATAGCCATGCCAGCTTTCTTGTGGTTGGTATACGCATGTTATCTCCTTCCATCTTTTTACTTTTAACCTCCTTGTTTTGTTTTTTAGGAGTTGGTGTAGAGTTTATGGTATGCAACTTAATTTATCACAGTGTACTTTAAAATGATATCCAATTCACATATCATTTAAGAATTTTATAGCAATAACCACTTACATATTTCTCCTCCCGTCTTTTGTGCTGATATCATAGATTTTATTCCTAAAGATATTATAAACTCCATATATACTGTTAATATTTTTGCTGTAGTTACCTTTAAAAAATTATTTTAATGAGAAGAAATGTCTTATGCATGTATCCACATATTTATTGTTTCCAGCACTCATCCCATCCTTCCTTTATGCAGATCCAAGTTTCCATCTGGTATTCTTTCCTTTGTAGGGATCACTTTCTGTAGCTCTTCATAGTAGTCTCCTTAATTCTTGGCAGTTTATAGCTTCCAATTTGAAAAATATTAGAATACATGATAAATGGATTGCAAAATCTTTCATAGTTTCCAGTTATTGAGTAGCCAGTATTATGGTGGGGGAGATTACCATGAAATGTTGGGTTATTTTTAAAAGATCCACCTGGATTTTTTTTTTTTGTTTGATTTTTATTTTTTGTGTTTTGTTTTTCATCACACTTAGAAACTCCCATCAAGACTGAAGCCGACATTCTGGCAGAAAACCAGGATTTTCACAGCAGTACTCCTAAGAGTCCAAGTCAAGATGTTAAAGCAACTGTTAGAAATTTCTCAGAAGCCAAGAGCAAGAACCAAAAGAAAAGTTTCAAAAAGACAAACCATAAGAGGAAAAAAGATTACCACCACTATGATACATTATTTGAACCAAGAACACACCATCCAAATCTCTTGGAAATGGTAAATTATTTTTCTTTATGTTCTAATCTTTGTGTTCTCATGTCATAAAGATAGTGCCACTGGTGTGTGTGTGTGTGTGTGTGTGTGTGTGTGTGTGTGTAAGCTTACCAGAGACATATGGTCCTTGGAGACTGGTCTATGTATCTTAATTCCGAAGCTCCATTTGGCATATAGCTGGTATTCAGTAAATGTGGAATAATACCTTTTCTGAACTACTTAAAAGAATCTAGTTGGTAAGAAAATATGTATTGAAATTTATTGGCTTTTTTTTCCTCCTTTTTTTCCCTTTTTTTTTTTTCAAAGAAGCACATTAAAATATTTTATATTCCCATGGATATTTGTGGACTATACAAAGGCAGTTGTTAAGTGCTCCTCAGACTCCTGGGAACTTTAAATGATCCAGGCAACTCTTTTGAACATCATATTTTCAAAATCTTCTCTAAGGACATCTCTTAGTCACCTTTGTGTTCCCAGATGGTGTTCAGCTATCAGCAGTGTATTCTTCGGGCATCTGTCTTCCTCCAGTCTCAGGGTGATCACTCCCTCTGCCTAGCACTCCGGCGTGGGAGGCCATGTGGTCAAGGACACCCACCACCCAGGGGCTACAGCAAGGAAGCTTCCTGGCTGGTGTGAGAGGCATGAAAAGATACGGGCTTTTTAAAAATTTCCATTGACAGCATAGCTGAAAATACAGAAGCAGGCTGAAGGGGAAAAAGGGTTTTTAATTCAGATGTCTATTAAGAACCACAGAATAGCAAAGAAAAGACTTAGCGTTTTTGGACAGTTCTTATTTTTTATTTTTGGAGACTATGTTCACTTTTTCTTCTTTCTACACCTTTATTTTTATTTATTTTATGAATTCTTGGCATCTCAGCCTTTTGTGTTAAAAAATCTAATAGCTTTCTTCAAATTATAAAGAAGAAGCAATTTATCTATTCTTTTTGAATTGGTGTCTCACTCTGTTGCCCAGGCTGGAGTACAGTAGCACAGTCTCAGCCACCACAGTCTCAACCTGCTAGGTTCAGGTGATCCTCTTGCCTCAAACTTCCAAGTAGCTGGAACTATAGGCATGTGCCACTCCACTCGGCTAATTTTTTGATGTATTGTAGAGACAAGGTCTTGCTATGTTGCTCAGGCTGGTCTTAAACTCCAGGGCTCATGCAATTCTGTTGCCTCAGCCTCCCAAAGTGCTGGGATTACAGGCATGAGCCACCATGTCCAACCTCAGTGTATCTTTTGTTTGTAATTCAAAGACATGAAACTTAAAAAAAATCAACAATTTTCATGCCTAAGAGTAATAGAAATATTCCACATTGTTTTAGTGCAGTTATAAAACTATCTGTGGACCTTCTGTGAAAAGCGTTTGATTTGACTTATTAGATAAATACGTATGCTGTAGCTAAAGTGTTCTGTGGCTGTACACTGAAGTGCTACATGTAGACACAGTTGCTTGTTATTAAAGTGGATCTGGGCAACCCCCTTGGGTATCCTCCCACTTTGGGAGCTTTTCTGTTCTCTCAATAAATCCTGCTTTCTAAAAAAATGAAAAAAAATAAAGTGGATCTGAATTATACTCTCCATTTTGTAAATGTCAGTGCTGTATATAGTTACATTTTTAAAATGTGTATCTATTTAGAAGATTAAACATAATACACATCTCTTATCATTCTGTATTCTTTATATAAGGAGGGCACGCACAATATTTCAGATTTACCAGCTAATCTTTTTTTTTTTTAATTGCCTTTTTAGCTGCTGGCTCCAGACATCCGACATGAAAGAAATGTGATTTTGCAGTGTGTTCGGTACATCATCAAAAAAGACTTTTTTGGACTTGATACTAATTCTGTGAAAACTGAAGATGTATAGGTGTTTGATGTTTCAGTACACATACCTGAAGCATGTAAAACAGTCCCATCCTCAAGTTAGGCAGGGAAGCCAAAAAACTTTTTTTCAAAACTGGATTAATAATTAAATTGTAAGCCTCACAGGATATTATGTTGGATTTTCATCTGTCCTTTGGTTCCATGCAAATAAATGCATAACTGATTTTTAAGGCTGTGTCTGTATTGCTGGAATTGTATATAATATCCGTGGGAGGGCTTTTCTTTGTATTTGTGTTTATGTGAATGTCTTGCTCTCATGTAAAAAAGACTCCTATTGGGCCAGTTAAGAATTGAAGATAACTGGTTTAATAGTAAAAAAGAAAGCTTTTAAAATGTTTGATTCAGCCAACCAGAACTAGGCCGAGAAGTACAGCCATTTTGTTTTTAATGCAGAAGAGAAACATGTTCTATAGCAGGGGGATTATTTAAGACATAAACCAGATCAAATTAAGACAATCATAAGGTTGATATTTAAATCTTTCCTGTTTATTTTAAAAGACATATTTAAATTCATCTACTTGCACCACTTACATAGCTGAAATATTGACTATTTGAAATATGAATCAAGTGTGGCCTCTGTGTATGTTTAGATCTAAATTGGCATGGCCCGTGGGTATGTTTAGATAAAACTGAAGTGCTTCATTTTTGGTGGAATTCAGAATTGGACCCTTTTTCTCCATGAAAAGGTATATAGAATACAGGACTTGATGAGGCCCAACTCACTTCTTATAGCAGAAGCAGTGGTTCATGATTAATGTGAATAATAATAGTTTTAAGGTTAAATTCAAGTTTGACCAATGAAAGTAGTAGTTGAGCCTTTTTAAATTGTTAAAGTAAATAAAAGTGACTGAGATCCTTTTGTCTCGTTTAATGACAGGGGATTTGATCCTATGTTCTAGTCATTGTGCTAGCTCTAGATATAGGTCTGCCCTGTTGACATGATTTTAAAAATTAGTCTGTGGCTGTAGCTGAAAATTAATTTTATCTGACATTGTAATTTTTGAAGTCCATGAACCTTGCCTGAATGAAGACAGGTTGGAAAACTGATAGCAGCTTTCGGAAAGGGCCTCTCCCTCTTGCTCCTCCATTAGTAAAATCCTCTCCAGAATCCAGAACACCTGGTGTGTGATGCTAGTGACATAGCAGACCTGAGATTAAGATTCATGTTTAGTCGGTGTTTTCCAGCCTTCTGACCACCATACAGACCTTTTTATTCCATTTCACCTTATTCCTCCAGTGAGCTCCATATTTTTGGAAAATGATCTGTCCACTACATTAATTCCATTCATATAACACTGGTGAGTGTTTATAAATTCAAAGATACTCATCAGGATGGAGTAACTAATGTTATAAACTGAGTTAATATTCTAAAATGTAATGCAGTCTGCATTTTTATCACTGGTTAGCATACAGACTTTATAGGCTCAAAGTTCATGAATGAATTCACAGACCCCTAGACTACTTTCCTGGACCACCGTTATAGCCAGTGTTGACAGCCACTGCCTTAAGATGCATCATGTGGCCGGGCTCGGTGGCTCAGCCTGTAATCCCAGCACTTTGAGAGGCTGAGGTGAGTGGATTGCCTGAGCCCGCAGGTTTGAGACCCGCCTGGGCAACTTGGTGAGACCTCATCTCTACAATAAATCAAGAAATTAGCTGGGCGTGGTAGCGCACGCCTGTAGTTCCAGCTACTTGGAAGGCTGAGGCGCAAGGATTGCTGGAGCCCAGCAGGTCGAGGCTGCAGTGGCTGGGAGCGTGTCACTGCACTCCAGCTGGGCGAGAGAGCGAGATTCCAATTAAAAAAAAAAAAAAGATGCATCATGCAACCGTTCTTGTTTTCTAATGTATTTAAGGCTGAAAGTACTCCTCTGAGTACTCCCTGGGCTATGTCTGACAGGCTTGAGCTGTGGTGACTATTGTTTATTTCTGGGTAGTTTCAGATTCTATTGCCTTTATATTCAGCCCAGGAGAATTTGAAAGTGGGTTTAAAATTTCCAAGCAGATAGAATATAGCCTGTATGACTTATATTTTATGGAATTACATAGTCAATATTGTAAATATTCTGTTTTAGAGGGGTAGTGAGGTGCTTTGCCTATTTTGGATACAAGGTTTCTGGGGTTTGCTTGCTTGTTTGTTCTTTTGTTTGTTTTGAGTCAGGGTCTCTGTTGCCCAGGCTGAAGTGCAGTGGCACAATCATGGCTCACCACAGTCCCACCTCCTGAGTAGCTGGGACTACAGGTGTGCACCGCCCTGCCCAGTTAATTTTTTTTTTTTTTTTTTTTTGGTAGAGAACAGTTCTCACTCTTTTCTAGACTGGTCTCAAATTCCTGGGCTCAAGCAATCTTTCTGCCTCAGCCTTCCAAAGTCCCGGGATTACAGGCGTGAGGTGCTGTGCCTGGCCGATACAAGGTTTTTTTTATTTAGCTTGTTAACTGTTCAACCTTCTACGTTCTACATTCCTATCTTATTGCTCATTTAATCAATTGATTTCTGTAATGTGAAAGCATCATGTGACTGTTGGTGAGTTGTGCCTTTTGTAATTATGAAATACTCTTCTTTGTTCTCAATATCCTCTGTAATTGACTTCTATTTTTCCTCAGTATAGTCAAAACAACCTTGGGAAATTTAATGCACTCCTATTAATTGAGATTATTAAAAATGTTTGGACTACTTCTAGCCATCTTATTTTGTATTTTCTATATCTTATGTTTTATTGTTTTTATTTCATCATCTTATTGGCCTGTTTTTTTTTCTCCTTGTTTTTCTTCCTAATGGTTTGGAAATAATTCAGCCTATTGCTGTTTCTTTAGTAGTTATCCTATTTCTTTATGTGTAGAGTTAATTAGCAACTGTATCTTCTGCCCATCTCCCAATTAAGTCAATAACCTTAGCATTCTTTCCCTTCCACACCTTGCCATCTCCTTGTGATGTAATCAGGTATGATTTTAGTTTCAAATTAGTCTGTATTATCTTGGTGTGTGTGTTTGAACATTTTTCATAAATAGTTATTAGGCAATTGTGAGTTTTACTGTTTCCTTCTGATTGCTTTTTCTTGCATCCAAAGATTAGTTTTCTGGTGTCCTGCCACATATCTTCAAGTAATTAGACGTTGAATCCTCAATTTGAAATGTCTTTAAATTGAGTTATGGTTTTAGGCTCAAAATAATTTTCCTTCAGAATTTTGAGAATATCACACAATTGTCTGCTGGCATCCAATATGGCCGGTTAAAGTCAGACACCAATCTAATTCTCTTTATTTTTTGACAGCCTGTTTTTTTCCTCATGAAAAGCTTTTAGGATTTTCTTCTTGTGTTTGGAGTCCTAAAATTTGACCCGTGTGTGTCTGGTTCTTTGAGACATTTCTCACTCACTCTGCTTGCCTCACAGGCCTTTCATCAGAAGAACTGTACCATTTCTGAACTGAGAGCAATTTTTTTTTCCTTTTTTTTTTTTTGAGTCGGAGTCTCACTCTGTCGCCCAGACTGGAGTGCAGTGGCCGCTTCCGGCCACTGCAGCCTCCACCTGCTGGGCTCCGGCGATCCTTCCGCCTCAGCCTTCCAAGTAGCTGGAACTACAGGCGCACGCTACCATGCCCGGCTAATTTTTTGATTTATTTGTAGAGATGAGGTCTCACCAAGTTGCCCAGGTGGGCTCAGGCGAGAGCAATTTTTAAAATGATCTTCTTTCCATTTCATCTGTCTCCTTTTCTGGAACTCTTAAAAAAATTTTTTTTTAATTTTAAAGATGTGAGGCACAGTTCAGGATTAGGTACATAAGTGGTCACTATATAGGTGAGGTTTGGGCCTCCCATTGGTCCTCACTTTGTTTAGCTTGGGATCAGGCACACTTATTGGTGATATGTGTTCTCCCCCCCGCCCCCTGCCGTGTCCTGCTACTGCCAATCCCTTTCTTGTGGTATTATGGTAATTTTTCAGGGTCCACTTATAAGTGAGAATATGTGGTACTCAGTTCTTTGTTTCTGTAATAGATCGCTGAATTTGATAGACTCTGAATCCATCCAAGTTGCTGCAAAGTCCATAGTTTTGTCCTTTATGACTGCGTAATATTCCATCGTGTGTATGTACCACATTTTTTTTATCCAGTCCACTTTGGATGGGCAGCATGGTTTGGTTCCATGTTTTTGCTATTGTAAACAGTGTTGCAATAAACGTGTGGACAGGTACCTTTTTTGTAGAATGATTTGAGTTCCTCTGGGGGAAGGGAGGGGGATTGCTGGGTCGTATGGAAGATCGATTTTTAGATCTTTTAGGAATCACCACACTGTCTTCCACAGAGGTTGTATTAATTTACACTCCCACCAACAGTGTAGAAGTGTTCCCTTTTCTCCACATCCTTGCCAGCATCTGTTGTTTTTTGTTTTTTTAGTAAGAGCCATCCTGCCGAGTTAGGTGGTATCTCAGTATGGTTTTGATTTGCATTTCTCTGATGATTAGTGAGATTGAGCATTTTTCATGTATCTGGTGGCTACTCATATGTCTTCTTTTGACAACTGTCTATTCATGTCTTTTGCCCACTTTTTTTCTTTTTGTTTTGAGTTCGAGTCTCATTCTGTCACCCAGGCTGGAGTGCAGTGGCGTGCTCACGGTCACCTTAGCGTCGACCTGCTGGGCTCTGGCAATCCTTCTGCCTCAGCCTTCCAAGTAGCTGGAACTACAGGCACATGCTACCATATCCAGCTAATTTTTGATTTATTGTGAGACACGGTCTCGCCAAGTTACTGGGCTGGTCTTGAACCCACAGGCTCAGGAAATCCACTCACCTCAGCTTCCCAAAATGCTGGGATTACAGGTTGAGCCATCGAGCCTGGCTGGGAACAGTTTTAAGACTTCTCTTCTTCCTTCCTTCCCTTCCTCCCTCCTTTTTGAGTTGGGGTTTCACTCTGTTTTTCAGGCTGGAGTGTGGTGACACCACCATGGCTCATCACAGCTTCAACCTTCTAGATTCAGGTGATCCTCCCACCTCAGTCTCCCAAGTAACTGGAACTACAGGCGTGTACCACTACACCTGGTTAATTTTTTGTTTATTATTATTTTTTAGAAATGGTCTCACTATGTTGCCCAGTTTGGTCCCGAACTCCCAAAGTGCTGGAATTACAGGTGTGAGCCACTGCACCCAGCCATTTTTAAAAAGTCTTTATCTTCTAGAGCT